ATAATAAATGAATCTAGATAATAACCTTTATTTGGAAGTTTAGCCTATCTTCCTTCAAAGCATCTGACATCAACAACACTCGACTTTGAAGAGCTTCACGAGCTCGCACGTACTTCACGTAGATCACCTCATCCTTGCGAACACTGAAAATGCAAACCTTACCTTGAACTGCCAAAACTAACAACTTCCCACTTCTTTTTGCGTCCTTTCATGTCTTCCGGAGCGAGAACACCTACATGTTCATCAGCAATAGCCATAATCGCTTGTAACTACAATGAAATTAACGAATTTTAGTGGACTTGAGAAAAAATATAATGAATTCGTATAAATTTAAAAGTTGAAGTGAGCTCAAGAATTACGAGGAAATGTGGTCTCAACATACCCTCTCTTTCAAAAGTTTACTGAGCATCGTTAGAGACTTCCATTCAACCATTTCTGGGACATTTTTCACATTGCTAAGCATCTAAAGATAAGTCAATTTTAATCAAGAACTTATCAATGGCAGGTGTTGGTTGGAAAAGAATTAGCTCGAGGCAAGATCATGTATGACTGCATAGAGCAGCTAATTCATATAAATTCATTTGAAAATCAATCGCTACGTTGGTGCAATGAAACCACAACTAGATACCAGATCCAGCTGCTTGAACTAAATTAGAATTTTCCAAAACCACTCACCAGATCAACAGGTTCTTGGAGAGCACTAAACAAAGTAGTGAGCGTTTGTACTAGCCTTTCTCGTTGTATAGCAAATTGTGAATGCAGAGGTAGGATACGTGAGGTCAGCTCACAACAGTGATCACATTTAGTTAAAGCAGCTACTAGCACATCATCCACTACAAAAACAGCCACTGAACGATAGGAACAATAAAGTATGGGCATAGCTTATATCTAGATGATAGTTATTTAAAAACTGATTGTTAAAAGTTTACTTCTGTGATCTTTTGCTTGAAACGATCCCGCAAAAGATATCACTGTCCGAACAGCCACTAGCGATTTATCGATCGATGAAGCAAGGAAGTCGCATATAGT